TGCTTGAAGTTCTCTAAAAATACTTCATCGGAACTAGAAGGTGAATATACATGCCGCTAAAACAATCTTGTAAGAACCAATATCTCTTTCTCTCACTCCAATGGCGCTACAGCCAAAATCGAGCCTTGGCCTCCTCCCGATCTATGCCTCCAACATTGCTGCTCCCCCACCGATCTTCTCCAGGTTCTCATATCTAGCAAATTTTGAGCGTCTGCTGCTGCTTCATCCTCGCACCTTTTCTTTAGCCTTCCTTTTGGCCTTGCTCTCTGCATTTTACTCTTTAGGGCTCTTTTTGGCAATTTTGCTCTCTATTCTCACTACATGACCAACCCATTGAAGTCTTTGAAGTTTAACAAATTCTGAGAGTGGTGCCTCTTTGAACATTTTTTTACAGTTTTAAATAGAACCAAAATATACTTTAATAAATTTACACCAAAATTATCTTCTCAGCAAAAGTTTTAGCGATAATACACTTAATGTTTTCCTGAACATTATTAGTACAACATCTCCCTTAGATCATTTAGAAGCTCTGCGCATTTTAATATAAAACATCAATATTAAATAATATACTAGGGCTAATTACTAGTTTTTTTTATGAGCTAAATTAACTTAACCATATCATCTAACTGTAATTTGATTCTCTTGAAATACTCTTGCTGGGATTTTGTTTGATCCAGGGAAATTCTGACATCTGGCACTCTTATTAAAATCTTTTATTATTGAAAACAGTTTTAGCATCTTCAGCTGTATTTAATACAACTTTAATGGGTCTCAATCTGTTAGCAAATTTTTCCAATTTAAATAGTTTTATATTATTTTTGTTGATATTAAAATTAGTCAAAATATTAAGTACCGCCTGTTTATCTGCATTACGTTCCGATTGATTATTTTTGACTGATTCATTGACATTAAATACTTATTTCTTTCAATAGAGCTGGTATATTCTGAAATCTCACTTCACACTGTTCACAGAAAAACTTCAGTTTATCTTTTGTTTTCATGGCATGTATTTAGATGGCACTTCAGATCCTGTTAGATTACCACATTCAATACAAAGAACTGTTCTGCATCCATCACAGGAAAAAACTTGGTTTAACTTAAATCGGTGATCACACTCGACATATATTTGCATTTTATTTATTAAATTCTTGAACTATAATCACAATCTTGGAATCACACTCTCGGAACCTTTTTTATTCTCACTATTTCATTTTATTCATCAACTTTTTGTAGTAAAAAAAAGATTCAACATCAACATTCAATTCCAATTGTAACTTGTCAAAAAATTGCAAATTTTTGGCCCATTTAAACCCTAAAACAACACACATTTATGGATCACATCAATTTACAATAAAATTAGAATACTGGTTTTGTTTATAACTGATTGAAGGACAATTTTAATTTTCAAAATTTTCCTTTCCCATGGTATTACAAATATTAATTAATAATTAGCATTCACAAGTGTAAAAATTCACAGGAGCGGACATATCCTCCAATCACAACCCAGTTGTTTTGTCGATGAGAGTGAAACTAAAGAAGGTCAACAGCCCTAGCACCAAGAAAATCATGGATACAAGACGTCTCAAACAAGACAACATATATGCGGAAACGAAATTTAAAATAAACGAGAACTTAAGGAAAGTCAAAGAAAATAATGCGGAAACTCTAACTATTGACTAAAAGTGGGGAAAAATTCAACATGCCCTTGTGTCAGTTGGAAAAGAAACCCTCAAACCACTTGGAGAAAAAACAAAACCTTGGATGACAGTAGAAATTCTTGAACTTATGGAAGAACGAAGAAAACATAAAGCAAAAGACCTGAATAAATACAAAGAAATTCAGAGAAACATCAGAAAGAAAATTCGAGAGACAAAAGTGAGGTGGCTCTCCGACAGATGCAAGGAAATAGAAGATCTGGATAAAAAGTATGATAGCTTGAATTTACACAAAAAAAATCAAAGAAATGACAGGTTCTAGAAAACGTACAAAACGATTATCCTTAAAAATGATAAAGGGGATATTATTACTAATATGAAGGAGAGATTATGTCACTGGACCAATTAGATCCAACAACTATTTAATGATAAAGAGAACTATCATTAGAAATCACAGAGGATACGGGACCACCAATATTAAGAGAAGAAGTCATATATACCATCAAAAACACAAAAGAGGGTAAAGCTACTGGGCCAGATGATGTGCCCATCGAATTATTAGAACTCATCGATGAAAATGTTATTGATGTAATGGTTGAACTCTTAATCTAATATATCAGACTGCCACAATCCCCAGACAATGGCTGCAATCGACCTTTGTAGCAATTCCCAAAAAGCAAGTGCAACAACTTGCCCAGATCAGAGAACAATAGCTTTAATGAGTCACGCACTTAAAACATTTTTGAAAATAATTCACAGCAGAATTGTTAAAACTCTTGAATATGAAATTAGTGACACAAAATTTGGCTTTAGAAATGGTACGAGTACAAGAGATGCTTTGTTAGGCTTGAATGTGCTGGCTCAGAGATGCATGGACATAAATCAGGACAGACTTTGAAAAGGCATTTGATAAAGTTCAACATAAAAAGCTTGTAGATATATTAAAAAGCAAAAATATTGACAGTCGTGATATGAAAATTATATCTAATTTATATTGGAATCAAACTGCCAAGGTAAGAGCTGACAGCCAGTACACCGAAAATATCAAAATACAGAGAGAAGTCCACCATGTATGCGTGCTGTCCTCATTACTTTTCAATGTCTACAGTGAAGCGGTATTTCAAGAAGCGCTCTCAAACTCAATAGAAGGTATATCTATCAATGGAGAAGTTTTGAATAACTTACGTTTTGCAGACGATACAGATTTACAGAATGTAATGCAACGCCTTAGTGAACGCTGTCATGAGTACAGACTGAAGATAAATTTAAAGAACACTAATTGCATGATCATGACTAAATCTGCATCTGGATGCAAATATCCAATTGACTATTGAAGATACTGCAATTGAGAGTGTTAATAACTATAAATACTTAGGAACATGGATAACGTCAGATGTAGACCATACCAAAGAAATTAAGACACATATTGAAATAGCATGTACATCATTCATTAAACTTAAATAGTTTCTTTGTTGTCGGGATATAAGGTTAGAACTACGCCTGAGAATGCTTCGATGTTACGTGTTCTCTACTATTCTTTATGGCTTGGAAGCGTGGACACTAAAACAAGTCCATCTGAATAAGTTGGCCGCCTTTGAATTTTGGTGTTACAGAAGAATCCTACGAATATCATAGATTCAAAAAATGTCAAACATGGAAGTAACTAGAAGGATAGGAAATGAGGCGGAAATAATATTAACTATTAAAAGACGAAAACTTGAGTACTTAGGACATGTGATGAGAGGGCAAAAATACACATTATTACAACTTATTATGCAGGGCAAAATCCGAGGAAAGCGAAATGTGGTAAGACGAAGAATATCCTGGCTTAAGAACTTAAGGGAATGGTTTGAATGCAGTAGTGCAGAACTTTTTAGAGCGGCAGTCAACAGAGTCCGAATAGCCATGATGATTTCCAACCTTCGATAGAAGATGGAACTTAAAGAAGAAGAATTCACATCTTGATATATTAATATAACTTTGATTCAATTTAATGACAAGTGTAGTAAATGTGTCTATAGAAATACTGATATTGTAACAATTGCTTGTACAAATAAGTTACTAGGCTCTTAAATTAAACTTTTCTTCAAAAAAAATTATACTTACTTTTTAAATTAATAAATTAAAATGTATGATTCCTAGAATTTATATGTACTTATTAAGGAACAATAGTCTTTTGTGTACAAAATCATGAAAAAAATCTTGAATGAATGCATCAAGAAATATATTCTTAATGAAACACAATCTGGTGTCAGAACTCAAAAGGAGTTTTGCACCAAAAAGAAGTCGCCCTTATCTCTTATCTAGGATATCAATTGTGCCCTGGTGGCATCGGAGTGGGTGATTATACCTGGTTTTTTGGGTAATTCATCCGAAACAATTTTATCGCGATGTTCAGAAGATAGTAATATAACGCTTGTCTTAAATTTGGAACATATGATAAATTCTGGCTGATATGCAAAAATAGAAGAATATACAGGACATTGTAATTATGACAAGAATTCTTTAGGGATGAAAGCTTTATTTTTCTTAAATGTTCCACACACTGTAGGCATTGGTCGAGTATTTCTTCAACCAACTCCAAAGAAGTAAAAAAGTCTGTTGTGATCACCATATTCAGGACACAAACATGAAACCAAATCCAGTACCACTCTCTTAACTTAGTCCTTTTCTGGGACATTTTCCTCCTTCCCTAAATATATTTGCGAGTTTTTGCAATAGGAAGTCAGCAAGAATGCAAATTTTTATGCCATACTTGTCAGGCTTACTTTTCATGTAGACCCTGAAAGGACATCTATCATGAAACGGTATTATACCTTATATTTATTATACCCCTTCAAGATGGCTCGAAATATGGTCCCAAAATTTACTTAAGACTAATCCTGTAATAAACAGAACACAATGAGACTTTACGTGCAAAATATTTCAACTACTATTTCCAATAATCCAATAACTAATTATTGACCTGATCTGAATATATCATTTAATACCAGGTGGAGTGAGTTCTCACTCCATCAGCGCATCATTTCGGTACATCAAGTACCGAAAAGTACAAAGAAAAATGTTTAATGTTTTTTTTTAGGTAATAAATTAAATCTTTAACCCTTGTTTGCTTGAAATAAGTGACAACTTACATTGGTTGAAAGTAAAATTACTACAAATGTGAAAAGTACAATCTTATTTCTAAAGTTTTAAAATATTTTATCAAAAGTATATTTGTAATGTCTATTTCTCAATCAATTATCCTATATAACGGAGCAGCCGATCAAAAGCATGCAATGAAAGTTGTAGAAAAATCTCATATTTTGGTATATTATTTTACATTTTCTCTTATTAATTTAACAGGTAAAGAGAGGGAAAATGAACGTCAGGATGGCAATAGCAAATATCATACACCCGAAGAAATAGCTCTACAGTCAGTACCCGAACATTTAAGGGAATCTTCAAAGAAACAATCTGAAGAAATGTTATCAAATCAGATGTTAAGTGGTATACCCGAAGTTGATTTAGGTATTGAGGCCAAAATTAAAAATATAGAAGCTACAGAAGAAGCTAAACTTAGGTAATGTAGTAGATGAAGTTGAAGTTATAGAAGAAAAAAAAAACATATTTATTAGGTGCTATATATATATATATATATATATATATATATATATATATATTATTGTGATATTTCAAGTCTTGGTGCGCCAAGCAATTAATTAGCTAATTAATTAAATAATTAATTAAAATTATTTAAATGATATGATTATGACTCTATCTAGCCTATCAACTTTGTCTTTTATTTCTCCACCTTGAGACCGATATAAGAACCCACCACTCGTTCGAGTGATCCTTATAATATATTGGATTGACGGTCGTACTCCTTTTCCGATATATATATATATATATATATATATATATATATAATATATATATAATATATTATATATATATATATATATATATATATATATATATATATATTAATGTGATATTAAAAGTATGAGGTGCGCCAAGAAATTAATTAGCTAATTAATTAATTAATTCAACTTATTTAAATGATGCAATTATGATTTTATCACACTATTTAATTCTCTTATCTTAGGGTTAAATTCGTGCTTCAATATCTATGCTATTACATGTGAAAGGTAAGGTCCAAAGAATAACGGAATAATAAAAAACACATATGATATAACACTATATATTGAGGTAAAAATAATGAAATAATTCACACTCAAATGTTTTTTCAATAAACAAAATCTCATATAATGATTCTCAAAATTTTGTTCTACGTACGTGAACCTTCAAAATTAATGGTACAAACAATATTAATTGAAATCTCAAAATCCCAAATTATTCTAACTCTTCTAATCAAAATATTTATATCCTTTCTAAATTAAGTATAAAAATTGTGCTATCAATAAAAGAAAAACTGCAGAAAACAAAAATATCTCTCCCTGATGATGAGTGGTCCAAATCCTTGTTCCTTGTAGACTATATTATCTACTCTCAGGCGCTCCCTAGGTAATCAGTAATCTTACAACAAATTATTGCAAGTTTATCGTCCTTAATGATCTCCTTCAAATGCACGAATCGTTCAAATTATGCTAGCTTCTTCTTCTCTCAATAAACTGAATCTCTCGTTGGCCTGAGTGAAAATGAATCTTGGAATATCTTTTCTTTACGATAAACTGAATCTCTCGTTGGCCTGAACAGTGACTCTTGGAATATAAGTAGAAAAATATGACTTACAATCTTTTACTGGATCAGCTTCTGTCAGATACACTAACTACACGAAAATTCACAAACTTTCACTGCTACTGCTTCCTACCTCTGGGAAACTACCCGAGAAACAACGGCCGTTCGCCTTGCATCCTTGGAAACCAACTGACTATCTTTTCTCTCTCAAAAATCTAGCTAAACTTTCATTCCTACATACCTATCCCACCTTTTTTAATCTCCGCCAATCAAAGCTCGTCACAATTCTCCCATCTTTTCATTTCGATAACAAACAAATTTTTACCTATAATTATAAAATTTCCTAAAACTTATTTACAAATAATATTTTTCTACAATTCTTAAAAACTTAAACTTAAACACTTAAACTTAAATTTTTAAAAATATATAGTAAGGGGAAGTCAATATAAAATTTTACAACTGATCCTTAAAGGCAAAATAGAGGGGCGTAGAGGTGTAGGAAGAAAACAAGTTTCTTGGTTAAAAAACATTCGTGAATGGACTCAGATACGAAATGCAGGACAATTATTCCATATTGCAGAAGATCGAGAAGCCTTCGCAATGGTGATCGCCAACTTCGAATAATTCTGATATGGCACGCGAAGAAGAAGAAGATGTCTATGATTGCCGTAAGTCAATTAAACCGGGTTAATTTTTCTATGCACACCACATAAATTTTCATTAAACAACACTGGTTCCCTTTAAAACATGGCGGAACGTCTGCGCGAACGAGATGCGCGCACTTAATTTTATTACGTATACTATACTTACTTACTATTATTCTGTGCTACTACTGTCATTGTAATAAAATAAGAAATGGCTATTATCGGTGAACGTATTTTAAAAAGTTTTAATGTACCATGACACTATGAACTTCTAAAGATAAACCCATGCGCACGCGATCAGTCTATCTCTTTTGCACGTGTGACGTCACTTGGCGACAAATATCATCAGAAATGTTCTGTTTTGCATGGAGTTTTGTCAGATTTAGTATTGTTTTATCGTTTATCTAGTACGATGACAAATAAATGTGTGCACTTTTAGATAAAATATATTTCAGATTATTAACTTATAGATAAACTTCATCACCAAGTGACGTCATGCGCATCGACGTACAAAATTCGATTGCGAAGTGGTTTTATCTTGGAAGTCATAGTATCGTGTAATGTACATTTATATTTAACTATACAGTGATGAGCTCGCTAATAACCGACAGAATAACTCAAAAGATGGAAAACACATTAAATTATGAGATAAAAAGAAATGAAACTAGTGGAGGTGGGAGATTAAGCGATAAAAACCTATAAATTTACATTCTACTTATTGTTTCCCACCTTTAGACGTATAGGACGAGTTTGGCAACCGCTACTGTGACAGTGACAGTTTTAAATGACATACTCCTCTAAAATGTTAATAATTTTTGTCCTATCAAGGAGTGTGTTTATACCCTGTTTTCAAAGATATATATATATATATATATATATATATATATTATATATATATATATATAAGCAAAATGAGAGTATCTACAATTACAATAGAAATAAAGATTTCAACTAGCACCTAATTCGAATTAAGTACTTACTATCTACTCACATTCACTGTTATCAATAGTATCACTCGTATCATCTAAATTTACAGTTAATTTGGTTAATACTGGTAAATATATTTGCAGAAGCATTAGAAGATACGGAATTAGGCATTAAGGTGAACGGCATACCAATTAGCAACCTACGCTATGCGGACGACACAGTGATTATAACTGATAATTTGGAAGATCAGCAGTTATTACTTGATAGGGTGAATAGCATAGGTAAAAAATATGGCCTCAAAATCAACATTTTGAAAACGAAATATATGGTCATTAGCAGAAACCCTCCAGAAAACCCGATATTATGCATAGGTGACAATCGTATAAATCGCGTGAAAACTTTTAAATACCTTGGCACCACAATGAATGACCAATCGGATCCACAACACGAGATAAAAACCCGAATACAAATGGCAAAACAAGCTTTTGTGAAATTCAGACCGCTCCTATGTAATCAACACCTAAACTTCGAAATACGCTACAGAATGGTCAAGTGCTACATATGGTCCATCTTGCTTTATGGCATGGAAACGTGGACTTTGAAAAAAAACATCTATCAACAAACTCGAAGCATTTGAAATGTGGTCATTGAGAAGAATGATGCGCATACCTTGGGTGGATAGAGTTCGAAACGATGACGTCCTTAATAGAGCCGGCGTGGAAAGAGAACTTTTTGAATTAATTAAAAAACGCAAGATTGGTTACCTTGGGCACATATTGAGAGGAGCAAAATATGAAATACCACAGTTAATCCTACAAGGGAAGATCGAAGGTAGGAGAGGAGCCGGCCGCAAACAATTGTCCTGGTTAAGGAATATTAAAGAATGGACAGGAATACACAATACAGGTGAGCTGTGTCACGCCGCCAAGAACAGAATTCTAGTAATGAGATAGTCGCCTACGCACTTTGGTGTATGGCATGTTAAGAAGAAGAAGGTAAATATTTAACATAGTCATTTTCCACTCCGATCACATGTTTTATTACATTTTTCCAGTTGGTTGGTGTGATTTTTGTGACTTCTCTTCTAATTAAAACTGGAGAACAGTAGACGGAAATTTAGGAGCAACGTTTCTTCTCCTTATATTTCCTTTAAGTTGAGCCCATATTAACTCTATTGGGTTCAATGTACAATAATAGAGGAAGTCTAAGCACAGTATGCCCGTTACTACGAGCACAGTTGTCAACAACATATTCCTTTTCGTACTGTTTACTATGAGCAACCTCCAACAATTGCTTCACACTATGTTTAGGTAATTTCGGAAGAAGAGATTTTTCAAACCATGATTCAAAAATTGAACTTTCCATATCGTCATGATAATCCAGAGACGCATCTTTAATTTGTTTTGCAGATATTAATAATGCATCGTCGATCCATCCATTTTCTCCAACACAGTGTAAAATTATAATCCTCCTTCCTTTATTGGGCGGTACTGAGTTGAAACAGTTTTTGTTATTGTTATTTGTCCAACTTTTTTCACGGTATCATGAGTATCATACCAGGTCTCATCTAAATAAACAATATTTCGTTTAATTTTTTGATACTCAGTTATCTGTCTGATATAATTATTTCTTAAAGAAATTATTCTAGTACTTTCCATTAGTGTCTGTCGCTTGTCTATAGTTTTGTACTTAAAATTATTGTCTTTGAGAAATAATTGAAGTGTTGTTGCTGAACACGATAGAATTCCCTTTCGAACTAATTCACTTCGAAGGCTTTCAATAGTTGGAAAAATATTAGTCGCATACATTTGGTGTATTGTTCTAGTTATAGATTCAATTTCAATTAAGTGCGGTTCTATTTTTCTGAATTTGCCACAATCCCTTCTCTTCTGTCTAGAAGATGTTTCTCCTATAATGTTGTAGCAGTTGCTTTGGACACTCTGGTTAAAAAACATGTTTCTGCAATTGCCTCTGATTTAGATAATTCAGTACACAGTCCTTCATAAACATTTTTTAGCATACGTTTGGCATCATTAGAAAGGTTTACGTTTTACTACACGCCTTTGTAAATCTTTCAATTGATTAGAGGGTTCCATTGTCTCTTCAGCTACAGAATTATTATCGCACCACGGGCGCAATATTTTAAAAGTATCAAACGTATAAAAACATAATCACGTAAAAACGTATCAAAAAAAGTAAAAACCGTAAAATGTAAAAAGTTTTCCGTAGAAAGAACATTGAAAAAAGTCACTACCAAACTAACTTGCGGTTCACTATTTACAATTTGAATTTAACTGAACGCTGTAGCAGTTATTATTATACTAAAAATATTCTTGTCTCCCAAAAATCGGTTGGTAATATCCGCAATTTAAAAATAAAATATAAAAAATTACCTACCTAAGTCTTCTCCGCCCCTTCGACATTGAACGGTCGAAATCTGATACCTTATTTCATGACTTCGTAAGCTCAGTCAAATACTGATATAATCTGACCCCAAGTATGAAAAGTCGATAAAATATAATGCATTATGATTTGTCATAACAGCGATATCCGATGTTTTCATTGGCCGTTAGTCCACTTGGACTTATCATAAGTTCGATGAAAACTTAATTGGTTGACTGCCCATATTTTAAAACATTATACCAGGCATGTCTGAATGTTAATATCGAGTGGAATCTTAAAACTTTGTATTATTATACGTCTGAGTCATTGATAATTTTACAGACTCCTGGTAGAGTACTTTTTTATTGAATGATTTTAATACAGATACATATATTTTTACACAGCTCACGGAAATACGAGACTACTATATACAGATTACTGTACTATTTTTATTGAGTTATACCAGATACACCTAAATTAATATTCGAAGAGTAGATTATTCACGGGAAGTTCATAAACTTGAAACAACCAAAATAGATATATTTATGTTCGAAGAAATTATTTGTATTGAAGTTTTCTATATATTATATGTACACAACACAATATCCTTTATTTGGTTCTCTAAAGATTTTCGTTCAGTATACTATTTTTTATTAATTCTTACCTTAGATATTGGATAATTGGTTTTTTAAAGCCAGATCTATAGTCTGAGTAAATCTTACTTATTGAGATCCTAAGACAGTTGACAAATTATTATAGAGAATTTCTCAAGTATCGAGTAATTGAATTTCGTATGGTACTTAAATAGTTTTTATGTCTATAATTAAACACATTTTAGACTGTTGACATTTGAAATAATGTCTATAGTGAATTATCAACATACGCTGTTTTATATTTAATTATCAAAATTACAAAAACTTTGTTCAAATTAAGATATTTTCATTGTTAAATTTTTAGGTTATTGTGGGAAAAACAAAATAAGAAAGATGGACCCTCACAGTTTGTTCCATCCAACATGGCTGTAAATTTTGTACAACATAATAGGTTTAATATAGGAGCGAGTGAAATTCCGCCAAAGAAAGCTAAAATCGAAGAAAAACCGAAGAAAAAGGATGAAAAAGCCACTGACGACTATCATTATGAAAGATTCAAAAAACAATTTAAAAGATAATGTTAAATGTTTTTAAATATAGTTTAATCACAGATACAATAAAATTCATTTAAAACTAGACTACATTTCTAGCTAAATTGGAAAATTTACGTTTTCTCTACCCAAAGTGCTTCAGCATTAGAATACTATTGAGTGTTGGAGCCAAATGTTTTAGTCTTGTTCCTAGGAATATTAAATGACGTCATTAATTATAAATATTTAATTTTTTTCTAAATTATTACAAACCTAAGACATTACATTAAAACTTATCTACTAAGTTCAAAATATGTTGTTGTTCTTGATCTTTCCATTCTTTATCGCCCTCCTCTCCTAAATTACCAGCATATTCCCTCATGATATGTCTAATGGTTTTCAATGAGGCACCGCGAAGATTCAAAATTTGCATGACCCTGTGCTTTATGCTTCCAGGTCCCGCTGCACATACTTCTACAATTATGTAGTCTACTAGCTGAAGGGTAAACAAACCACCTACAAGTTTTAGAGTTTTGTTATTAGAGCCATTTTGCAAGTTTTAATTAAGTTTTTAATATATTATACAAGAAATCAAAATAATAAGCTAATCACAAATCCTATATTAGTTTATTAGTTAACAAATTAATTAGACAAAAAAAAAATTCGTGATCGGGGAATACCTAGTAAAATTTTTCAATACACATTTTGTAGGATAATGGAGAAAGTAAAGAATCCAGTTAATTTCTATAAGTTTCGTACCTATCAATTACTCCATATAGTCTCATATAATATACGAAAAAGATAATTCTTTTGTCACTAACCACATAAACAGCGACAACCATTTTCGCCAGAAATTTTGTAAGATATTAAAGTACAATTCACTTAGGCCACGATAACAACGATTTTTTTTTATTGTACATAGTCGCATCAACCTCTGAGGTTGATATATATATATATATATATATATATATATATATATATATATATATATATATATATCTACGGCATAAAGTGAACTCCGCCCATGTTAAAATTCAGGTTCAAGTGAGCCCCGTGGTCAAGTGGACACCGATATACGGAGCTCACTTGTCCATTCCATAATATTGGCTCTGTCGATTCGTTAAGATGTATAGTTTCATAATTCTTAAAAAAAATTTGGAGCTCATAAGTACCCCTGTATCGTAAATGTATTTCGCTTAGTTCACGTGTATATATTATAGGGGGCGTTCAGATCTTTTTCACTGTATATTGGAACTATAAGTATATCGGTTTAAGTAAGCTCTGATAGTTTGGCAACTATGCACTTAGGCCAGCGTTCTTGATATATATATTTTATATATTTTAAACGGTTCATACGGACTCCTTTTCATACGCATTACAATATGTAATCTTCTTCTTCTTCTTGTGCCTATCCATTATGAATGTTGGCGATCATATTGACAATATGTAATAGATATGTATAATACCAAATACCTGTTTTTGGTAGGTACCTGCTATTCTAAAAATAGCTTTATAAATACAAAAGGATTTCATTACCAAGTTGGACGTGTTTTTTCATATGCGAATATTTCCTAATGTATTTTGTTAACATGAATATGTCTTTATACGTTTTATTTAAGAATACGATTAATAAGAACTTTTAGTTAATCCATTGTTTTACGATATCTTGTATACAGCTTCTTTATTATTTTATTTCTGGTTTTATCTGTGTACTACATATAATTATGGATAGGTTATCTTAAAATAAATATTTAAGTGCAAAAATAGATATTTTTATGTAAAAATTGGTAGTAGTGCACAAAAGAGGGAAGAATGCTTAATTTATATAAGAAGAATGTACCAGTTCACCAATATTACATACTTCTAAATGTTTTATCTGCTATTTAGTGGTAATATGTAATCAATAAACGTGGAGTTAGTGTCAAATTTGCAATAATCTTTGGTCAGTTTTTTCTCGATTTTAGTCATAAATTGAGCTGATATTCGTTGAGTGGATGTTGAGATTCTAGACTTTGTATCTTTTATTATCTAGCAGTCTAGCTACTTATCTTCGGATATTAGGTGAATTGATAGCTACGATATTGTAGAGCTTATGTATGGATGTATGTGTGTGTGTGTCTTAATATTCGCTGAATTTGGCTGTCTAAATTATAGCTAAATCTACGTGTTAAATATGTGTTGGTGTCATCCATACTTGCAAGGTATATTCGGTAGCAGAAGCATAGAGTGCAAGCGTCTACGTTTTAAGGATGAAAGAATGCTTCTCATTTTTAGTTGACAAGTTTGCAGAGATTATTTTTCTGGTCCTCAGTTTGCCTTTTAGTTTTAAACAATGTTCTATGAATGACAAAGTGTGATACAAACTATCTTCAAGGTATTTATAGCAAGTCCAGAGTTTAAAAATTTCATGACACTATTGGATGTTAAGATTTTTAAAAGCATCTCTGTTAGGGACATTAAAGCAGGACATCTGACTTTTTCTGAGGTTTGGCTTAAAATTGATTCATAGTCTATTTTTATTGTGTTTAAAGTATGATTTAGATTTTTCTATACTTCAGCAACAAAAGTTTTTGGTTGTGTTACCCCAAAGGAGACCGTTCTTCTGCGTTTTCCATCTGTTATTTTTACCATTGAATGATACAAAAAATCTTCTGTTGTGTAGGCATACCCGGACAATACAAGCCATTGTTGTATTTTTGATCCAAATTTTAGAATTAGTTTTGTGCTCAGATCTTTAGTCAGGAGCCGTAATATTATTCATTATATACGTAGATAGCAGATACAAGCTCAACACCGTTGAAAGATTCCCTTAGCTGACTGGTTTTGTCCCCTCTCATTTTAAGTTTTTCTTTTCTTGTTTGCCTATGTTTGGCCCTCAATGTGTTTCCTGCACTAGAAATACGTCACATTTGTGTTAACCGCATATGTCTGATAAAGTTAAGTAAAGTAAAGTACCTATTTTTATCTCTGGATATTCCCTTCTCTAATATTTATAGACGGAATTAGGATAGTTGGCATTAAAAAGACCGATTTGGCCGATCTTTAAACCCTATAAAATATGGCTAATCTTTTAATTTTCATTAAAAATTTTAATTTTACATACTGTTACTTTTAGACAATATTTCGATCAGATTTGTATAGTAATAAATGTAGTTAATATACATAGAGTCTCTTTGTGAAAAATAAATGAGTTTGTAATATCGGTCACAACTCATATATGGATAATAAGGAAATAAACGGTTAAAATAGGTGTACAAAATTTTAACTACATATATCGGCGCCATTGTTCAGGAGTTGGGTTTATCTCAGAGATCAAAAGGTTACGTTACATGCATATTTCAGGTTCTATTTACGTATTTTCATTCCTAAAAAAGTATATTTATAATATAGCCCTGAAGCTACCTTTAGATTCTATGAAAAGTAGAATCTATGGAAATTAGCAAATTAAAAAATAAAGACATAATTCTGAATGGCCAACTTGAGACAAACAATTCTCCCGTCCTTAACTTATTCAGTTACAAACTATAACGTGTAAACGCATACATCTTTTATTGTTAGATAAAATGAATTTTTATCAAGTAACAGTCGGATCTATCACTTACTAAAAGAGTAGAAAATGACATGCTTATGCTTTAGAGTACGGCTACTTTAGTACAAAGTACCCTTTGCTTTTGCCAATTGCTTTCTCACTTTCTTAGCGATGGGCCTGGCTTTTCCTTATCAATAATGTTCTCGTTCGTTATAGTTATTCTAAGATATTCAGATTTCACTATATGCTCTACATTTGGTTTTATCCAATATAAATTTACAACTATGACGAAATTTTTATAATATTTTATGCATTGTTATTAAACTGATATGAAACTGAGGATATAAAAATCAACAATAAGACCGATAATGACGTACATAGCGGAAACAAGAGCAGATACAGCGAAAACACAAAGACTGCTAGAAACAACAGAAATGAAAGTCTTACGAAAAATAACAAACTAAACTCTAAGAGAAAGAGTAAGAAGTGAAGAAATACGAGCGAGATGTGGTTTAGAGGAAATAAACGCGTGGACCAAAAGAAAAAAGCGGAATGGAATCAACACTTCGAAAGAATGACAGAAATTAGAATAGTACGAATAGCAAGAGACAAATCGCCAAATGTAAGGAGATCATTGAGACGACCGAGGAAAAGATGGTCAGACAACGTCAATTGAGGCTCAAAACCGAAGTAAAACAGGCATTAATCATCATCATCATCATCATCATCTTGGTGCTACAGCCCTTAGAGGGCCTCGACCTTCTCAAGCTTTCTACGCCATTCTGTTCTGTCCCTTGATTGAGTTTTCCAGTTGCCGAATCCAATCTTCTCCGCATCTTGTGTTACCCCATCCATCCACCTCAGCTTTGGTCTACCCCGTCGTCTCATTCCCACAGGTTGCGCTGTTAGAATCTTTTTTATCATGTTCGATTCAGGGGCCTGGGCTACATGTCCTGCCCACTGCAGGCGGTTTCGCTTAATTATAGTGGTAATATCTTTACCACCAAACGTATGCTTGTAGATATTCTGCAGTTCGAAGTTATATCTACGCCTCCATATTCCGTTCTCACAGACCGCTCCAAATATCTTGCGTAGCACCTTTCTTTCAAAAATGGATAGAGCGGATTCATCTGTTTTCGTTAGCGTCCATGCCTCTGATCCGTATGTAAGAACGGGGACTATCAGTGTTCTATACAGCCTTATACGAGTTTTTTGAGACAGACGTTTGTTAGCTGTCTAGTTTGTACAGAAGTACTTTGATAGACCATAATAACACATGTTTGCAATTAACAGGCATTAAGCCCATTTATAAAGAAGGAAGAAGAAGAAGAAGATATTAAACTGGAGTAGAGCACTTGGTAGATAATATTTATTTGTTTTGAGTATACTTATTTTACAACATAGTACATAAAATAATAAATATTTGTGTGCTCAGTTTTTTGCTCTGAATTGAAGATTTTATCTCAAAATATGACTGTACTTTGTGACAACAAATTGCTATATAACAGTACGAGGCAATATTCTTATGCTGTGACAAAATCATCATATTTGCTTTACATTCCCGTTTTTTCCTGCAGTATCATATTTTAGCATAGTCTTCTGATTCATTTTATAGACAAGCGGTAATGGATATCCACAATTTGTCTAATAATATTAAGTTTTAAAAACAGCTGTGCTTTTATGCTCATTCGTTTACCTTTTGTAAAGCCACCTGAGTTATGAATAACTACTTTTTTGTATTTTTAGAAGACATACTTCAATCGGGCATATTTTAATGTGTGAATATTAGGGATTTATATAATCTTTTTGTATATATAATTTGTTTATTGATTTTACATTTTAAATAAAATTTCATAATTATAGTTCTCTTCCGTTTATTTACTATAATAATACATATACAAACCCAATTCGAAATGGAAAAAAACCAGCGAGTTCTAGATTGAACATAGACATTCGTCTCTCTTTCTCCCTATATGTTATATAAAGG